CTCTCTTGGTCTCTCTTTCCAGCAAGTGCACACACACTGTGGAAAACTATTAGGTCGTCGAGAAAGTTCCTGATGTGTTTTTCTATGCAAAAATGCATCATGACTTTCCAAACAACCCAAAAATATATAAACAAACATTTATCTAAGTATTATCTCTATTTTATAGGGAGGAACCATGCTCCAAGAAAAAAAATACGCTAAATAGTTATTTCACTGGACGGTGTGAGGATTGTATGTGTAATTTATTTTTTATTTTTATTTTTTAAAAAGAATTATTCTATTCAACTTTATTTATTTATTTATTTTTAAATTTTACCAGAGAGGGGCAAAGTGAGAGAGAGAGAGAGAGGGAAGGTAAGAAAGCAAGCCATCAAGTCTAGGACTTGAACCGCTATAGGCCATGTGGGAGTCCAGCACCCTTAACCAGTATACCACCTGCTGGTCCCATGCAATTTATTTTTTAAGTGCCTGCCACAATTCTTGTTTTTTCTTATTATTTTTAATTTGCTTCAGGGCATGTATGCTCACCAGAGAGAGAGCGAGCGAAAGTGAGAAAGCAAGCCACCAGGTCTGGGACTTGAATAACGGTTGACCATGTAGGAGTCCAGCCCCTCAACCACCACACCAACCAGCTGCCCCCCGTTATAGCAAGTTTTTTTTTAAAAATAAAAGAAAACAGAAAAGAAATTACTTATGTTGTTTTGAATCTCTTTGTAAAGACTCTTGCAAGAAGAAAATGTGTATGTACAGGATTGGCGTGATGACAGTGACCTTGTGTGGGTAAATCCATTGTTAAACACGGCATTAGCAGCATGGCACATGTAAGAAGATAATTTATGTGATAAAGACGGGATGCCCCAAGTACAGATGGGTGAGATGTGGATGTGCGAGGTAAATGACGTGCAGTATCAGTCACCACGCTGACCGTGTGGGTATACTCAACCCAATGCTGACTACACCACGTAGTGAAGAAACCAAATTGCAAGGACAGCAGGAAAAAAATGAAAGGTTTTGTGTGTCTGTACAGGTGACCCCAAGTCTCTAGTTGAGAGTGTCCCAATAACTATAAAATACGCATGAATAGACTAATTAAGGGGGGAAATAGGATGAAATAAGTAAGGAAAAGATACAAGATGGACTTTGTTCTGTAATGTGAAGTTACTGAAAAATCAAGTATCATGTGCTTTATTTAAAATATTAAGTCCAGGGCCAACAGATGGCATGGCAGTTAAGGACGCTGGACTCCTACATGGTTGACTGTGGTTCGAGTCCCAGACCTGGCAGCTTATTTTCTAACTTTCCCTCTCTCTCTCTCTCTGTCTCTCTCTGGTCTAATTAAAAACAGATAAAGTTAAATAAGATAATAATTTTTAAAAAAGAAGCCCTGCATTAGAATAGTAAGCCCATGGGCTGGTGCTATGGCCCCATTGTTAAGGCAGCTGGATCCCACATGGCCGATTCCAAGATTTGAGTTCCAGACCTGACAGCTTGAGAAAAATGCTGATCACATGTGTGTGTGTTGCCCATAATCCTAAAAGGAGGGAGAGATGAGGGAGAAGGGATTGCAAGGTGGTGCAGAGGAGTTAGCACTCAAAATCTGCAGCCCCCACTGGGGGTTGGACACGGTCTTTTATGGGGGATTTGGGGAAGGGGAAGTCTCTGGGTGGGGAATAGGAGGTCTCTGGGTGCAGAATGGGAGGTCTCTGGATGGGGAACTGGCTCAGAACCTGCCCTCCTTAGTGTCAAAGGGAGGAGCCAGAGAAGCAGGAAGTCTAGTCTGTTCTGGAGACTAATCCATTCAAAGATTTCAGTTTACCCTGCAGCTCTTGGGAGGGGCAGTACATTTGCCAGAGGACAGAAACTTCAGGCGGCTATCAGCCCTGAGTTATTCATGAATCCAGGGTCCTTTCATATTGAAATAGGCATACACAAGCATGGAATCACCATTAATTCTACCAGAGTTAGGAGAACTGAGGACTTAACGTGAAGTTTACAGAACACTAGGGGTTCCATGAGCCCCCTGAAAGTCTGTATACCAACATGTGCACGTGCGGTTTCTGAAGGGGGTTCCATAGTTTTTTTTTTTTTCTTTTTAAATAATTACCTTATTTAACCTTTATTTATTTATTTAAATTTGAGCAGAGAGAGACAGAGTGAGAGAGTGGGAATGTGAGAAAGCAAGCCGCCAGATCCAGGACTGGAACCATGGTGGGCCATATGGTAGTCCAGTGCCTTTAACCATCACACCATGCTGGCCCCTCCATAGCTTTTTAAAAGTCAGATATCTAAAATATGGCCAGGCACTCCATGTACCCAAATTAAGGACCATTACTCTGGTAAAAGAACTGTTTGCTGGGACCAGTAGTTGGTGTAATGGCTATGTCACTGGACTCCCAGGTAGTCGACCACAGTTCGAGTCCTTGACCCAGTGGCTTAAACTCATGCCAGGTGCATGTGTGTGCGCGCCCAAGATCCCAAGAGGAGAATGGAGATGAAGGGATTGCGGTGTGACCATCCCAAGTGTGTCCAACCCCGCCCCAAGGGTGATTTCTTGTTTTCTGTCTGTCTTTCTGACAATCTCATGCGCCCTACAGCAAAAACCTGTCCAAAAAAACAAACAAATAAAAAAAACATTTGCTGACAAATTGGTAAATATGTGATTTAGTTCCTATTACCAAGGAAGAAAGACTGCTTTACTTTAATGATTTGGTGTCTTGTCTTTTCCATTTTATATTTGTGTGTGGGAGGTAAAATTAGTCTACACAAGTTTCCATTACCAACCAGGTGGCTTTACATTTCTAAGATATCAAGGAGAGATCCAGGTTTGTAAATCTCAGTTTTAAATCTCTGTTGCTGTTTATTTTTGTTTGGTTTCTTAATTCAGTTTGAATTTGGAAGGGCTGCTCACACGTCAAAATGCTTCATGGCTTTAAGCAAAAAGAAACAAAAATAAAACTCCCACAAAGATTTTTCTCTTATTTAAGATTCTTTTAAATATTTCTAACAGGTAATTAATAAGATTTTGGCAGCTACACATGAGCATTTATTTTAATTGAAAAGGTGACATCTATCCCCATGAGGACTCTCAAAGTAATCATTGATTTCTGGAATCTTAGTGACCACATCTGAGTTGTCTTTCTGATAAAATTCTGTTTCACCAACTATATTCTTGGACTTTTACCTGAACTGCCACACTGACTCACATAAAGCTCTATAAAACAAATTAGAAATGATGACATTCTTCTGTGACTAAGTAGATATTTCTACAAAATTGGTGCCTTTAATCTCATGTATACTGTGATAAAAATATATTATTGTTTCCTATAATCATTTAACAAGTGTGAGGGCACTCACGTAACATCTACTAAAAGGTGACTTTTGAACTTAGGTACTCAAAATTTGAGGTAAAGAAGAAAAGAGCATAAGATTTTTAGACAGTTTCTGAAATAGGGAATTTCATGATAAGGAAAAACACTTTTTTTTTTTGGAGAGATTTTTGCTATAAGGCATGTGCACTTGCCAGACAGACAGAGACAGAGAGACAGAAAGGGGGAAATCACCTTCCAGGGGGGATGGCCACACCGCAATCCCTTCTCCTCCATTCTCCTCTCGGGATCTTGGGCAGGCATGCACACCAGCCTGGCATGAGTTTAAGCCACTGGGTCCCGGACTCAAACCATGGTCGACTACATGGGAGTCCAGCGACAGCCATTATGCCAACTGCTGGTCCCAAAACAAACACTTTTACATAGCTTGCCCAAGGTTATTCAGCTAGTGGAGTCCATTTTCAATCACATATTTGCCTGACTATAAAGCAAATAGTTTCCATGACCAAAAATAATTTAATATATAAAATATCTAAAACAATATAGGTAAATATATACTTTGATCTCATCCTTTAAGGTATACCTATAAATCTAATGCACTTTATGGGATACGAATGATAAAATAATGGAAATCTCAATTGTTCAGGCTTTGATACTGAGATTTATGGATCCAGAGACTTGATTTGTGTGTGTGCCCACATTTGATATAACTGAGTTTGCATTATAATTATACAGTTCACAACACTGATTTATAAAGCTGAATGAATGCGAATCTTAAATTTACAGTGGCCAAAATAGCTGGCAGGATAATTATTGAATTTGTAGCTATTCCTTTTTAAGGGAAGTGCCAACTAGAACAAATGATAACTTAGAAAATTGCCTCTTCAGTCGAATGCTGGAAAGAAGCAAGTAAATATCATTAAGGTTTTATTTGCATAAAGATTGGTTGTCTTTTGCTGTAAAAACAATCTAACCACCCATGGGGAAGTGGTTCAAAATTGCTTTTTATTTCAACATCCCCAGCTTTTTAACCTCACAGTGATGAATTACTTAACGTCTGCCAGCCTCAGTTTCCTTACGTTATAAAAACAGGCTTCTTTTAAGGATCGAAATCATCCATTTTCAAACATGTAACCCCATATGATAATTGTGAGCCTATTTGATACATTCAACCCGATAGCTCCCGCTAGCCAAAATATGAAAATTACATTATGTATTAGCATGATGTCATTTGTTGTCATTGTGCTGTTTGCTATTGTTCTGTGTAGACAGCAGCTAATATGGAGAAACCGGACAAATGTGCAGCACAATCCCCCCTAGAGCCGGCGAGGAGGCGGGTACGGATAACCATGACAACAAAGCGCGCCAAGGCATTTTCCGCTTGCGCGTCGCATGGGAAGAAAAAGTCTAGACAGCGTGTTGCGTCATCACTCCGCGCTCGTCAGGTTGCTCCGTGCTTTTGGAAGGTCCCGGCGCGGCTCCCGTCGCCTCACGCCAGGCATCTTTTTCTTTGCAACCTTGCTTCCCTCGCGTGGAGGTTGCAGGACGGTAAGTGCCGAGGGAGAAGCGCGGGCGGGCGAGGCGGGCCGCGGGGATGCTCGGCGCACTCCCCGCCTCCGCACCTTCCTGCGCCGCCTCGGCCCTATCAGCTTCCTCTCAGCTGGGATCGCGCCGCGTCAACTTCCGGGCGGGTGCCCGCCAGCACGGCCTCCGCCGCTCCCCTCCCTTTGGCCCCTTTGTGTCCCCGCCGTGTGGAGGCACGGGCCCTGGCAGGTCCTTTCTCGAGGCAGGGGGCACCGTAGCGCAGGGAGCATCTCTCAGTGGGCGGGCTCGCGGCCCGCCCGGGGGTTGGATTGGGGAACGTGTCTGCGCGTGCTGGGGTAAGAGGAGGTTGCACGAGGGTCAGCTCGTGGTTGAGTAAGGAGGGGTGGGAAGGGAGAGGGGGCGAAGGGGAGTCAAAAGCAATGGAAATTTTAAACAGATACCCCATGTCCACCTTCTGATCCCGAGGGGCCTAACAATGAAGCGCAGCCATACTAGTCCTGAGCCACTGGCATGCTTGCGGGCTCTTTATTGCCTTGGGAAGCGACTGCTGTGGCATTGTATTTTATGTTGTTCTCATGGCCTGTCTTCTTTTCGTTTTTCCCCTCGCAGTTAGTTTATTTAAAGCCCCCTGCCCCCTAGGGTGGTGGTTTCTACCAATATGAATCTTTTCAACCTGGATCGTTTTCGCTTTGAGAAAAGGAATAAGATTGAGGAAGCACCTGAAGCAACCCCTCAACCCTCCCAGCCTGGCCCTTCTTCACCAATTACTCTTAGTGCTGAAGAGGAGAATGCTGAAGGGGAAGTTAGCAGGGCAAACACCCCTGATTCAGATATAACTGAAAAAACAGGTGAGTTACAATGTTGCAAACTGATGTATCATCAAGGTATACTTTTAAAGGAAGAAAGGCAGAGGGATTCTCATTTTTATTCTTAGTGCCATACATACTGATGCATTGTCCTCCACTGAGGTCTTTTAAATACTAATTTGGGATTGCCACGGGCAGGGTGACCCTCCAGCAGAGCACCCCTCCATTGATGCTTCACTTTTACATGAGTCCTTGAAATATGGCCCAGTCCTGGAAGGTAAAATCAGAATTTAGGGCATCTTTAGGTAAAAATGGAAGAGCCTGTGTTAGATTTTGAGACTATTCAACCAGACTTTTTTCCCCCCAGTATTCTTTAAAAAAATACTGATCACTACTGTAAGCTAGAAATTGGTCACAAGTGCTTTAAGACAACTCGTATGTACAAATGAAGATCAGATCACATTCAGTTATCGCCTCGACCTCACTTCCTGGATATCTCTAGAATGCAAATGAGTAATTGGTATTCATCATGGTGAATGGGCCATTTTTGACATCAGCAGATTGTCACAGACAGGATTTGAAAGTGAGCCAGAAATTACATTTCCGTTGTAATCTGTTGAGCAGTTAACAATTAAAGTAATATATTTGAGTTCTTGCCTGTTTTAGTGATAATGCTGAGTACTTCACCTCTTGTTTAATTTGTACAGTAATATTACAGTTATTATCCTCATTTTGCAGAAATGATACCCAGAGAAATTCGTTCAGTTATTAGGAATTGGGTAGAGACTGAACTCAGATTCTTAATTGTTACAGTATACAGTCTGTTATGTGAGGTGAAGGAAATGTTAGACGTTTTTACATTGCAGGAATAACCTTTTTCGATGTGGAATTGAAATGACTGTGGTCTGGAAGATTGGTAACATGTCTGCAACCATTGCTACCTTGTTCACCACGCTTCTGCTGATGTGTGATCGTCATGGCGGGTCCCCTCTGTGGTCTCAGTAGACTAACATTTGTAAATTCTTGGGCTTAACTGTCACTTGGTGGAATGATTTGGTAGATTGGATTTAGAGGTAATGAGAAGTCAGATTTCCAAATGCTTTGATTGTGTAAGGAGTTTTGAACTTGTCTACATGGCTGTAGGGAACAACTGAAGGATTCGAAGCACAGGGATGACATCTCTGTGATCTTTTCTTTCAATCCATATTTGATTGATTTGCATCGTTTGCTGTAGTTAATGCCTGACCATCCAAGAACTTTATTGTTTTCCCAGTGAATTTATTCCTCTATTTTTCAAACGGTTAGCCTACATGGGGAAGGCCAGTGTGTAGGCATGGGATTTTAAATCCTTAAAGGCCTCTGCTTTTTTATTTTAGTTAAATGTAGGACGTTGGACACGTCGTTTAGATTCTGGGATTGTCTATTTATCTCATAAAGGAAAAACATTTTGTAAACTGGACCTCAGTGGAATGTGTTAGTTATTTATCAGTATTGGTTGGTAATGTGAAATTCATAGTTGTCTTTTCCAATCAGAAGATATTTTTCTACCTTTTTTCTTTGTAAAGACACTCCACACCTTTTCTCTTCAGGAAAGAGAACTTTTTTTTTTTTTTTTTTTACATAAAATCCTCTTAGAAACTGAGGTTGCTTTAGGAATCATTTGGATGGTCTTGATGACATCGAGAAACATGAAAATTAAGTTTGTTCTGGCAGAGGTGAGAATTCATCCCAGTAGGAATGAAGCATGTTGCTTTTTGTTGTTGTTCTTTTTTTTTTTTTTTGAAGCGGTTTTTTGCTATAGGGCATGTGCACTTGCCTGACAGAGAGAGACAGAGAGACAGAAAGCGAGAAATCACCCCCCGGGGGGATGGCCATGCTGTAATCCCTCCTCCTCCATTCTCCTCTCGGGATCTTGGGCACACATGCACACGTGCCTGGTGTGAGTTTTAAGCCACTGGGTCCAGGACGCGAACTGCAGTCGACTACATGGGAGTCCAGCGACATAGCCATTACGCTAACTGCTGGTCCCGCATATTGCTTTATGAAAAGATTATTCTAAGTGATAAAAGAATTTTCAAGAATGCTGAAAACTAAGAGTGGTTTGTTTGTTTATTTTTAAAATTTTGGTATAGGATTTGGTGCACGCATGTGTGAGACAGACAGTGAAAAATCACTACCCCCTCCCCAGGAGGGATATCCAGGCCAGAGTCCCTTCTACTTTCTTCCCTTGGGATCTTGGGCACACACATGTATACATACACACACACACACACACACACACACACACACACACATTCTGAAGCCTCTGGGTCCTGGACTCGAACTCCATAGTCGGCAATGTGGGATCTAGCTGCCTTAGTCACCATGCCACCAGGGCCTTAGTTTATTTTTTATATTACAGGTTCTAGACATCGTGTAAAGTCTTCATAATAAAATGATGAAAGAAAATTGTTCTACAAAAAAGTCAGTGCATGGGACCAGCAGTTAGCGTAATGACTATGTCGCTGGACTCCCACATAGTCGACCACGGTTCGAGTCCCAGACCCGGTGGCTTAAACTCACGCCGGGCACGTGTGCGTGCATGCCCAAGATCCCAAGAGGAGAATGGAGAAGAAAGGGTTGCGGCATGGCCATCCCCCCTGGGGGGTAATTTCTCACTTTCTGTCTCTCTGTCTCTCTCTGTCTGTCTGGTGAGGGCACGCGCCCCATAGCAAAAACTTCTCCAAAAAAAAAAGTCAGTGCATCAGTGTGAGTACTGCATATTAATGAAGGGTGGGGTTTGAAGGGAGAGAGATCATTTAGGAAGCTCTTAACAATCTGAGCTTAATGATGGAAGGAGAAATAGAGAAGAAAGATAAGAGCTTTCATATTAATGAAGGATAGAATTTTATAGCTAGGTACATGGTAGGAATGAGTAAGGTGATTATTATGATTTTTAGTTTAGGGAAATAGGAAAAAATTGGTATTGCAATGGATAAGAAGTACCTGTTATTAGCCATTGGCTTGCCTTTACGAAATTAAATAAAAATCAGTCTTGCCCTAACTGCTGAGGCAACTTAGCATGAGGGAAGAGGGCAAGGAAGGTGGGAGGCTGTTGAATCGCATGTTGGATCTGTGGAAAGAATAAAAGGCCGAAGTAAAATTTAGGTCAGGGCTGGCGATGGAGAAGGGACTCATGAGTAGGATGTGAATATTGACTTTCCATTATCATACGGACATCGTATACTTGCATTGTGTGAGAGTAGAAGGTAAAGGTCTAAGCTCATAGAATGGAAGTTGTATGTGGTCAAAGTTACCTGTAACCACTCTTTTTCCATTGATCCTGTTGTTGCCCTAGTGTAAGGCTTAATTCCCCACCCCTCTCCTTCAGTTATGGAACCACCCATGGTGTTTTTTGAATATGCCTGGCAGAGTATTCCCTCTGCTTCTCTGCTTTCTTGCTTAGAAGACCCATCTTGCTGACGTATGCATATGACTCAGCTCCTCCTTTTCATTAAGTCTCAGTGAAATGTCACCTTTCTTTCCATGGCACTCCCTTATCACTGTCTTTGAAATAGCAACTTCTCCCATCTTCCCACTTCCCTGCTTTACTGTATTTTTTTTTTCCTTTAATTTTGTCAGAGGGTGCATGCACTCACCAGAGAGAGAGAAAGCACTCCGCTGTGGGGAATGGTCATGTTGTAATCCCTTCTTCATTTCTTTCTCCTCTTGGGATGTTGGGCATGCATGCATATGCACCAAAGTCTTTCTCAAGCCACTGGGTCCAGGACGCTTAACTTTGCAGTCAGCCTTGTGAGATCCAACAGCTTTAACTGCCGTGCTGCAGTTAAAGATTCGAGTCTACTGTTTTTTTCAAAATCAGTTTTTGACAGTCTTTTTTTTTTTTTTTTTAATTTGAGCAGAGAAGGACAGAGAGAAGTGGGGGGCGGGGGGTGAGGAACCAAGCCGCCAGGTCCAGGACTCGAACTGCAGTCAGCCACATGGGAATCCAGTGCCCTCAGCCACCTGCTGGCCCCAGTCTCCCCCCTCCCCCAAGTTTTTTATTTTTAAGACTTATTTAACTTTATTTATTTATTTACTTATTTATTTTAATTTTTTTACCAGTGAGGGAGAGAGAAAGTGAGAAAGCAAGCTGCCAGGTCTAGGACTCAAACCACGGTTGGCCATGTGGGAGTCCAGCGCCCTCAGCCACCAGCTGGCCCCAGTCCTTTTTTTTCCCCCCCGAAGTTTTTGTTTGTTTGTTTTGTTTTTTAAGAACTATTTAACTTTATTTATTTATTTATTTTAATTTTGCGGTAGAGAGTGAAAGGGAAAGGTAGAAAGCAAGCTGCCAGGCCCAGGACTCGAACCACGATTGGCCATGTGGGAGTCCAGCACCTTTAACTACGATGCTATCTGCCGGCTCCATTTTTCCCTGTTTTTAAAAATTATTTCTTCTCAGCAAGAGACATGTAACTAGCAAGGTCTTCACACTGTAATCCCCCCTAACCAGCCTGGATCGTGGGCACAGACATGCCTAGCATACACAGGGACGGCCTGGCATGCAAACCTGGACCCTTCCCATGTGGGTTTAGCGTCTTAGAGTGTTGCGTTACCGCTGTGCCCCTCGCTGGCTCTGTACCCAACAGAGTATTCTGCTTCCTGGTATTTATCACTTCCTGGTGCTATGTCACGGATCTGTGTCTCCCTTATTAGAATGCAAGGTCCCTCAGAGCAGAGACTTTATCTGTTCACCTCTTCATCTCCATTGCTCATAACATTGGCCAGCACATAGTAGGCCTCAATAAATGTGTTGAAGTAAGGATTATCCCATGATGAGTGTGTGATTTTAGATTAGTACTTCATACATTTTTAAAAATGTCACTCCTTTTTGTTTTATGACCTTGAAACAGTTTCCTAGCTATCAGACCATTATTTTTTTTTTTTAAACTTTTAAAAAATTTGCTTCTTCTGGGGACCAGCGGGTGGTGTGGAGGTTAAGGTGCTGGACACTCCCACATGGCCAACCATGGTTCGAGTCTGGGACCTGGTGGCTTGCTTTC